CAAATTTCAGAGTAACAGCCATGTTAGTCTGTATTTGCAAAAAGAAAAGGAGTACTTGTGGCACCTTAGAGACTAACCAATTTATTTGAGCATGAGCTTTCGTGAGCCACAGCTCACTTCATCGGATGAAGTGAGCTGTGGCTCACGAAAGCTCATGCTCAAATAAATTGGTTAGTCTCTAAGGTGCCACAAGTCCTCCTTTTCTTTATGGTTCACAAAGGTTGCCATCTACAGAGCTCGGGACATTACTGCAATTCTGATTTTTATCCCCCTTGAGTAACTGACTGTGACATTTTTGCATTTTACTCCAGAGTGCTGCTTTGAATAATAACTTGGGGAGAAAGGCTTAATTTTCTGTTTCATAGTCACTTACCCCTTTAATTCTGCTCACTCCAGTCTCCGCTCCTCTGCTTCTTCTAGCTACAAAAAGCAAATGTGCTTTTTTTGTTCTTTGTAGATGAAAGGAAGGGAATTCGTCCAATTTCATACGTACAGAATCAGGAAGAAATTACCTTGCAAATTGTGCTCTCGGGGCAGAGTTGAAGTCCCTGGTGAGATGCGTGGGAAGCATATGCACTAGCTGAATGCGTCACACGATACCTGCCATTCACACAGAGCCTTATTCCCAATCCCCTTAAATGATCGGCTTTCTCTACATCTGCCCACACCAAGCCCATGTGAAGCCCAAGTGAAGTAAGAAGGCTGGCTCACACACATCCTCCTATTTTTGAAATGTATTTTAGAACAATACTATGGGCCATGTGAATTCTGATCCACGGGCCAATAAAACAGACCGGGGAAATGTGGGACTGAAGATACGGGGCCCGATTCCCAGGTGGTGTAAATCAGCAAGGGAGTTGTGCCAAGTTGCACCAGCTGAAGATCTGTCTCAGCTTCCAAACTGAGGTGAGAACAATGTTAAAAGGGTCAGAGCTAAAGGCCTGGGAGGGCAGGAAGTCACATGTTGTGTTTCATGGATGATGCACAATAAGTATTGGCCACTTAGCTTGATGTGATTTTGATCCACCCAAATTCCACTTCATTGACAAAATAGCTGAGTTCAGACCCCAAATCTGAAGAAACATGTATTTTGTCCTGTTTCCATGGAAAGCCGATCTTTTAGAAGGGGAAAAAAACCCCTAATTTTTGCTCCATTTGGCTCAAAACTAGGCCCATTCCCTTTTTTTGTTCTAAATATTTAGAAACCATTACAACATTTTCTGCAAAAAATGGGCACAGTTTTCTGTTTATAATTAAGGCCCCAGTCCTGCAGTTGGATCCAGGTGACCAGCCCCTTGCAGCTGCTCTGATGCTCACAATGATGGAGACATTGACCACGCTTTCATTCAGACCTGGAGATGGCACAATGCATGTACACAAGATAATAATTGCAATCAACACAAGGGGTTGTGCATTTCTGAGGGTGCTCAGCACCCTCTGTTCCCACTGGCGTTCATTGGGATTTAAGGGGGCTCAGCAACACTTCCCAGATGTGCTCAGCTCTTAGCAGTCACAGGCCCTGCTCCTGTAAGTGAACACAGCAGCCTGGTTCCCTCTCCCATGTAAAGTCCCGATGAGGGCAGTATGACTCAGTGCAGGGATAAAGGTCTGTGCTGGCCCTCTGCAGGATCGGGGCCATTGGAGCACCGGTGCGCACTCTCCCTTATAAGAGCCCAGGACCGATATTAACCAACCAGTCCTCATACAACCCCAGAATGGAGACACAAGCCCATTCTGTAGTTGGGGTAATGGAGAGGTTCAATACTGCTTGGGATCAGAGCCCCTGAGTTGATGGGTCTTCAGCAGAATCTGCACAGATCTCAGCAGATTGGGGACCAGAGCCCCTGCTTGTTCCTTGGAGAGGCCCAAACTTCCTTGGAGAGGAATTCTCAATGGGGCTCTCACAGGAGTTCCCATGGGGCAGGGAGAGCTCCCCTCCTTTGGAAAGTAACTCTCCCTGATCCCAGCCAGAACCTTCCAGGCCAGGGGCTTGGCTCACACAGCTCCAGGCAGGTGGCTACATGGAGCTGTCAAGCTGACTCAGCGTACAACACATGGTGTGAGCAGTCCTTCACTGGGAATTAGTCTAGCCCATTCTCCAGCTAACGGGCTGTGACGGCTGCCTTTCCGCTCAAGGAGAGAGCTCCAGCTTTCTCTTGAACCTTCCCGTTACAGTTTACGTTTTGTTCTCCCCATGGATGGTTTTGCCATCAAATAAATGTCTCAACTGAATTCATCTTATTTTTTAAAATGAAAGCGTCAGCATATTGGCCAGGCCGATCATAAAACAACAGATAAATCTGCCAGGAAATGCAGTTTAATATGAGTATTTGTTTAGAATAGCAATTGTTCCCTCGTGGGCCGTTGATTATAAAGAGAACATCTACCGGACAGTAGCAGTCCCATATCTTCCTTTAGCTAAAGGTTTGGCCTACTTGGGTTTCTATGCGAAACATTTCTGGCAGATGCATTTAGAAGAAAATGAGATTGGCTAGCATTACTAAAAACAAACCAACCCCTTGGAATATGGGGCTGTTTTATGCACTCTAAGAGGAGCTATACAATGTTTATTAATTATTAATTATTATTATTATTATAGGGGACAGAAAAGCAAAGGTCTGTTCCCATAGACACAGAGAAGGATAAGACAAGAATGAGGAACAGGGAACCGAGGGCACCAAGAAGACCAGTCGTGATCTGTTGCTGTCTGACCCGAGGTGCAGAATCTCTGATCGCAGCAATCCCACATCTCCCTTCCACTTGTCACGACCGGGCGATCAGGTCAGAGGCCAGGGACAGCACTGAAGGTCCGAGCTGGAGTCAGGAACCAGGAGTCTGTGCCAAGGGGCAGAGCCAGGGTCGGGAACCAAGCACCGAAACCAGGGGCAAAGCCGGAGTCAGAGTCCCAGTACAAAGCCTAGGGTTGGGATCAGAGTTGCAGTTTAAGGGTGAAGGCTGAGGGTCAGAGTCAAGCCTGGGGGGTCTGAAAGTGAGTTAAGAGAAGCAGCTAAAGCTGGCAGGGAAGTCTGCCTCATTGCAGACACCTCCTGGAACGCCTCCTGGAATAAAAGGGGGCCGTGAGAGACGCTGTCAGTCCGGCCAGCTGAGGTGATTCTTCCCGTACTGGTCTCAGTAATCATGCTTACGGCCCTATCAAGGCTGCCGGGGAGTGGTGTGGAGGTGTTGACCGACTCGCAGACCCGCTCTAGTCCCCGCAGAACTTCACATTGCTGGAGCTCGGCCTGGGGTGATGCAGGTCTATTTCTTGTCCCTGGGGGCGCTGGAAGGCGAGGTGCTTTCATCCAGACGGCATTTACAACCCTGTGAAAAACTGGCTCTGAAAGATCCCACCCTGGGCTCCCACAGCTACCCTCTGGCTGGGGGCATGGGGTGTCGATGCTGCAGCCACCTCTGCTGCACTGGCTTGTGTGCAGAGAGCTGAAGGGCATGCTTCCCACGTGGCCAGGCCCAGCCGGACGGGCGGGCGTTTTGTTGTGTTAACCCACTATCTGCCGTCAGTCCACACAGGGCAGGGAGCGTGGGCACTGCTCGCCAGAAACACATCAGAGCCACCCCTGTCAACAGGCAAGAGGAGTTAAACTGGAAGCCCCCTGGCCTCTGCCCAGGGAAACACCTGCCAGCAAGGGGAGCAAATTCTCGAGCTGAGGACTATTCACTGAGAACACCTTTCTGCCTGGCACTAGTAACAGCAGCACCTAAAGGCATCAGCTCAGATCAGGGCCACAATGTGCTAGGTGCTGTATAAATACATGGTAAGGGAGGCCTTGCTCCAAAGAGCTTCTGGTCTAAATAGACTAGGCAAAGAGTGGGAGGGGAAACTGAGGCACAACATGGGGAAGCGACTGCCCAAGGTCCCACAGCAGAGCAGTAAATAGGACCTAGATCTCTTGAGTCCCATCCTGTGCCCCACCCATGATGCCTCCAGAGAACTAAACCTAGGGGCAGGTGAAGTGACAGCGTACCTGACAAGGAGCATATGGGATGACACTCCCGTCCCACGCAGTATTGTGCACCTCCCTCGGCCATTCCCAGGACTGCTCAGCACCTCGCAGGACGGGGCCCTTTGTATCTCTTATACAAAGACGTTGACAAAACAGTGCATTCACAAAAGGGCTGGGTGCTCCTCCCCCTGCCCACACCCCAGTCCTCCAGGCCAGCATGAGGCCTTTTCACTGACCCACCAGGTTCCTCTGCACAGCAAGGAAGAAGAGAGCTGAGAGTTTAAACCCACAAAAATGACAAGCCCAGCTGAAGGGGAAAATGCTGTGATTCTTCTTTGGAATCCAGCTTATTTAAACCACACAGGAAAGGGCTGGGCCTGCCCTCTTTCCACAGACAAATCTCCCATGGGATTGGACACTATTGTTATTTAAAATGCTCACAAGGATCCAGGGGCTTTTACCAGCACATTGCTACAGGGGATAATTTCCCCTTTTCTTTTTACAGAGCTGTACCAGTGCTTTGGTTGGCAGGTCTGCAGCACCCTCTTGTGGCTGAAGAATTCACCACTGGCAAAGTTGCTTTTTTTGTGTTTCTGGGTGACGCGTCAGGGTGAACACCACACCCTCGCCTTGCTCTGTGTCACGAGCTGAGACAATCCATGTTCAGCTCGAAAATTATTGCAGGGGCATGTGTAGCTGCATAGGGCGAATGCTGTGCTCCCGTCGCACCTCAACAGACCCGGCAACTTAATCCCGTTCCTATAGAAATACGAATGCTGGTCAAGGCGACAGAATCAAGAGGTTAAGAATAAATTAGAACTGAATCCTTAGAGCCAGACTTCGGCCTGGACGCAGAAAGGTACTTAATCATATGCTTCACTTTAAGCGTGTGAGTAATCACATTGACATCACTGGGACTACATATGTGCTTACGATTTGGCACGTGCTCACACACTTTGCTGGATCATATATATATAAGATTTGGTCCTTTCCTCTATAATGGGCTAGACCAAGCCTATCAGAAACACCCAGGAAGTTATAATTTGACTCTGATTCTGGGTCTAAATGCCATGAATTATGCTCATCTTTTAATATGTGATTTCATTCACAGAAGACCCATTACAACACTATTTTTACAGCGATGGCAGGGAGCCGTGACCAACATGTAAGAACACCAAGTACAATACTGTCTCCAGTGCTCTCTATCAAAAATCCGAGGACAGAGTCTGAATCTGAGCTGAGGCTGAGAGACCCAAAGTCAAGTGTTCCTAACGTTCAAGGGGGCCTACATCCAAAATGCAAGAGAGGGTTGAAAATGTTCCATCAAAATAATGTTTTTGTCCGAAAATGGCTGTTTGATGAACCAGACCATTTTGTGGGAAAATGTCCATTTTGCTAGAAAATTTGTAGGTTTTCGTTGACACACCCAAACTCTAAAAAATGAAAACATTTTGGTTTGTGGTAACCGAAAGCTGGAATTTCTCAGATTCTGGGTTGTCAGTTTTTCACCAAAAGCCAAAAAAAGTAAAAGAAAATTTTCAACAGAAATGGGGAAAAAAACGGTTTGGTCTAAATTTTTCTTAGGGAAAAACAATAATAATTTCCCAACCAGCTCCTCCAAACACAGAGATGGGCTCTGGCTGCCATGTTCACAGCTGAATCTTGGGCTGGACTTTCCTAAAGTTCCCAGGATTTCAAGGTCCTGTGCTCAGCTCTGGGCTGCAGTCAGAGCTTCACCCTTGGTAAAAGACCTCTGAGGACGTTATGGGACGAGACCGGAGATTGGCAGCGGGGCACAAGATGAGCGTTCAGAGTGGAAACCCGAAGTGGCAGCTTTCTGACACTTTCACAACCATGTGGGGAAATCCACTTTTTGATGTTGCTTAAGCACCAAGCTTTTCAGCCACCAAACTGTTTGCAACCCCACACGCAAAGTGAAACTGACTAACGATGATCCAGCACTTTGTGCTCAAAGAGTTTTGAGCATTTAATATTATGCTGAAAATGTTACAAGCCCCACCCAGAATCCTGAACGAAAGAGACTCATTCAGCTTTTGCAAGGTTTGTTCGCCAATGGCTCCCTCAGTCTCCTTACGGTTCTGTGTCTCCCTTTTCTCTTGCATTTCTCCTGGCTTTGGCTGCACCCCTGTGTTTCCTGGGAAACACCGAAATCTCCCCAAATTCGAGCTGTCTCCCCGAGACATAGCCAAGATGGAACCAAGAGTAAAGCAGTGACATGGTCCTGTTGGAAAAGGCTAACAAGCTGAGTGATGACAAAACTGCAACCAACTGCCCTAAGAGCAAACAAGCTGCTTGTCAGTTCACGCCTGTCTGGGCTCTAAAAACAGGCATTTCCAGGCTTTGTGCTGTGATATTCTAAACTAGCCGAGTGGAAGAAACTCTAATTCATGCTTTGATGTCAGTTTGGACACAGACAAACAAGCTTATTTACTCCATCAGGCACTTAACCCATTCCTAAACTGCCGACAGTGAGCCTGCAGTGAGACAGTGAGCTGCATCTCTGTGCCCCCCGCTCAGGCTGAATCGTGCGCTCCTCGGAGCAAGTTTGTTCTTCATACTTGTCTGTCTGCTAAGGCCACTTTGTGCACACTGGCCTCAGCACGGCCTGAAATGCTCGGCAGAAATTGCTCCTGCCCAGGGGAACGCTCTGCTGTACTAAATCTGGCAGGGGTGGCTCTGTTGCAGGGTGTGTGTGGCGGGCTGCGGACAGTCAAGGGGTGGGACGGAACTCTGCTACGACTGATCCTCCGCTAGCATAAGGTAGCTTTGCACAGGGGCAGCTCTGTCTTGTGCCCGGGCCAGTCGACTGTAAACCAGGCTTCCTGTGGCCATCCCTCTCCACTACAGAGAATCTGGCCAGTGGGTTTATTTTCTTGTAATGTTTCTTATCAGCCAACTGATAGTATTTAGAAATAGGCCCGAGTCCTGGACCCCAAGCTCCCCTGACCTTTGGATGGGCTCAGAAGCCAAACCCTGGTAAAGATCTGAATTTTGTTCCCAGGCTGAATCAAAACCCTGGCACTGAAAATCCTCAAACTGGGGCACTTGGACTCTGGATGTGTATTTTATGGCTTGCCCCATCTCTGCTGTAAGCCGACAATCTCTTGCACCATCCTCTGAAGCATCTGGCACTGGCCACTGCCTGAGGTGGGATACCAGACTGGATGGAGAACTGAGCTGATCCACTCTGGCAACTCCTATGTCCCTAGTCTTTTATGAAGGTCTGTCCATAGCTACCAAGGGGCAGTAAACTCCTAGAACTGGTGCTGCCCCACCCTCCCCTTAAAGTTTCCACATTTCCTCCCCAAAATGGGAGCTTTATTCTTCATGACGGGGGCATCCTACCCCAGTTGCACACCATGCACAAAAAAGAAGCCAAAGTGGTTATTTGTGCTCCTACTGGGACTCAGCTGGAGGTGCTAGACACCAGGTTCAGCTGAACACAAGCATGCTTTATTTATGGGAAATGTTTAGACCATGCTTTGGGCAAACAGTACATTCCCACACATACAATCAGAGAGGAAGGTAAAGAAAGCTCTCTTGTAAGTATGATGCATGCGCCAGCAATTACAGAAGGAAACACCTAAGCTACGCTTTAAATCACCTGCAGGAAGTGGATTCTAAACACAGCCCTCCGGGCTGCGGAGAAAGGCAGCGATGGACAGAAAGAGATCATTAAAAATTTTCTTTGAAAAATCTGAAGTTGAAGTGTTCGCAGTGAGCCTTGACTACCTTGGCAAGAGCCGGAGACCCGCAGAAGAAGACTTGGACTTTCCCTTTATTTTCCTCTGCCATCCTGTGGAACACCTGACATGAAACGAAAGCAGGGAGGAGAAGAAAAGAACAAGGTCTGTTTTAACATCGCGTGGGACCACCATTAACATGCCCTTGGTTCACGAGCTCTCTTTCACCACAAAGCTAAGCAGGTGGCACACCAAAGCACCACCTAGGGAGGTTCTTTTCATGGGTGGCCGTTAACAATTACGAGGGAGGGTGGCTTGTTTCCTGGGCATGGATAAGGGGACGATGTAACAAAGTCTTAAACAGTAGACATGAAACTTGAAGCAGCAATCAAAGAACTCCCATAGAGTTCCCACTTGAAGAGCCACCAGAAACCCTCACTCCTCAGGCATCGCTTTGAGCTCCGTACTCAAGCCAAGCTCCCGTTGACTCTAACAGGAACCTGCCTGGTTGAGGAGGCAGAGACTGGGCCTGGAGCGCCAGACTGAGCTCACTGACACCGTTGTAAATACACACACCCCACTGACTACTCTGGAGTTACTCCAGCATTACCTGGCTCAGGTGCCTCCCCAACAGTGAAGCAGGCGGACGCAGTTTGTTAATTGGGTTTCAAGGATCGTTACCTTGCTCCAGTCAGGGCGGCCTGGTTGGGTTCTGGTCCTCAGTCCTGTGATAGAGTCTTTCTTTTCCTTCTTCGCCAGCAGATCTAAAGCCATCTGCAGACCAATAGCCTTCATATCGTTCTTACTGAGCGCTGAAGTCATGTACAGGTGCATCTCTAGAAAACGGCCTGTGCATTTAAGGGAAAAGCAAAGTGACAGCTGAGCATCTGGAGTTCAGTTTGTTAGTGCAGAATTACTGACCAAGGCTGGCTCAAAACACATTGCCACCAAAACCTCAGCTAGCAGTACACCTGTCCCTGGGAAAATAGGCAGAACATCATGTCACTTTAGCCAGACAGACTCTCTTTAGGTCTGTACCCTGGCCTGATGTTCTAGGCCACTTCCCCTAGGTAGGAGAGTCTCCCACCAATCCATAGACCCCGACTGTATCTGCCTTGTTTCGCTCGTGGAGAGAAGATGCTGCCTCTGGAAGTGGGGACTGTATGTGGTCGGGACATGTTATCAGAAGAACAGCAGCAGCTAGTACCATGAAGTAGCAAAGCAGGGTTATCTGGTGCCAGTGCCAGGCTTCCCACCCAACCATTCGCACAGAGTTCTCCTGCCAGGAGCACGGCAGTCCAAGCAGGGGAAGGAGTGTAGTGGCGGCAGACAGGCCACACTTAAGTCAGGTCCAGGAGTGCCCCCCTTGAAAGGACCTGCCAAGAGCCTGTGGAGTGTAGCCTCAGTGAGCTTTGATGGAGCCAGGATTGGGACACAATGGTTGCAGCTCACAAATCCCTTCCCGGCTGCCTCTTTTCCTGTATTTGCAGATAGGCCAATCACATGACAATAGGGACAATGCAACATCTACTGTGTTACTAAAGACACTTGTACTCTGCTGGGGGGCATGTGTCACGGAGGCTGAGGTCAATAGTATTCCTACATGCCCACTGGAATGGGGGACGGAGGGATTCACTAGCAGAGCCGCCTGGCTTCCACTTACCTTCCGGTTCCTCATCAGTCTGGTCCATTTCCAGCTTTGTGAGCAGGCTGACAAACCACTCAAAGGACTTCTGGTCTCGGTTGATCCAGATGAAGTCAACCTGAAAACACGATCTTTGCTTTGGTGCCAGTGAGCCACACATTTACATACCAAACTACGAATCAGTTGACTTGTTGGTGTTTGTGCCTTTTAAAGCCCCCAGCGCGGCTCTTTGCAGACTGGCAAAGCGACAAGGCCCCAGTCCTCAGCGGCTCTTGGTCACATTAGACAAGGGACAGACAGTTGTGGGACGGAGCCAGGTTCTAATTCTGTCTCTGTCTGGGCCTTTATACCACGTTCATCACCACTGGAACTGGTGAAGGAGCAGGATGGTTAGCAGGCAGCTCTGGAGTCCCACAGACTGGGCCAGTTCAGCCTGAGCAAATCAATGTAGCTTCACTTACTCTAACGGGGCTATGCCAACTTATGCCAGCTGAGGTCGGACCCATTGCCTGGGAGAGTGGTGTATTCAAACGTGTATTAAAATTGTAAACTATCACTTTTAATTTTCAGGGGTTTCCCTGGTACTGCTTGCGAGCACGAGGGCTCTATAGGGAAACATGCAATCTGGGAGCAGTCAGTCAGTCTGCAAACAACCAGCCTAGAGCAAGGTGGGGGAAATTGTCCTCTCTGCCTTAGGGAGCAGCTTGCTTTGTCTCTCTCTGCTCTGGATTCTAAGAAATAAAGTTGTGTTACATTGAAATCTTCCAGAAAGAATATTTTATGTTTCTATCTAATGCCTCTGTCTGTATGCCGTGAACATAGCTCTAGGGCAGTGGTGTTTGTGCATTTATTATTTAGTAAGGATGTCTCTGAGTGGAGGACAAGGGTCTGGAGACCTCTTAGCAGAGGTGCATTGAAGGACCCAAACCCTATAAATGATTGGATGGTTTATACCTCTTACATTATTGTTACAGTTACAACATAGGCGCCAATGGTTTCATTATGAGTCTGCTGGCATCCCTATCATAATCAACTGCAGTGCATCCAAAGGTACATTAGCCCCTCTTGACTTAAACGGGGCATTATAAGTCTCAGCCTGAGGCCAGGTCTACACTACCACTAACTCTGGTGTAAACTTACATCACTCAGGGGTGTGAATAAGCCACCACGGCCAAGCAACATAAGTTGCACTGACCTAAGTGCCAATATGGACAGTGCTATGACATAACTACCATCTCTCGTGGAGGTGGATTTATTATGCTGACGGGAGAGCTCTCGCCCATCGGCCTAGAGCGTCTTCACCAGACCTGCTACAGCTGCACTGATGCAGCACTTCTACTGTCGACAAGCCCTGAGATACAGTTTCTGCAGCAAAAAGCAGCTATTGTTGCATTTTAAAAGTTGGAGCAGTGGTTAGAAGTCGGTAAGCCAGCAGACCCTCGGACAACACAACGCTGGGTCCCGGTCCGGGAAGTTGCTCTGCCCAGGAGCAAACTGCACAGAGCAGCTCACAAGATTTCCCGCAAATATTTACTACCAGCAGTCAGGTCGTCGCTGGGAAGCTTTGAGTTATCCCTATAAGTAGGAGCTCACCTTCCTAAGCTTCATTTCGTCATCCTTGAGGCTCTCAGACCATGAATAGCCACTGCGGGGATCATTTTGTTTTCTCATGCGATACCTAGAAGAATGCAACAGAACCCACATGTGGTAACAAGGACGGTCATGCCAGCTCTTTAGCACCTCCCCGCCCCTTGCTCTCAGCAGTGAAAACTCTCATGAGAAAGTCATTAGAGCTGAGTCATGTTTTTCCAAAATTCAACATTTTCAACAAGTTTTTTCTAGTGTTCACCCTTTTTGACCAGCTCTAGAAAATACCCTTATCTGGCTTCTTTGCAAACTTTCTGTTCGGGTGTCAGTCTTCAGTGTAGTGTCTGTCCATTTGGAAGGATGAGTTTGGTTTTAGGAACATCTTTTCACCCACCTGTAAGGACCAAGTCCTCAATGTCAGGGAGAAAGGATGATCTAGTGGAGAGACTACTGGACTGGCTCAGCCACAAACTTTGTGTCTGACCTCAGGTGAGTCATTTGATCTATGCTGGGCCTCAGTTCCCATCTGTAAAATGGAGATAATAGCAGTTCCCTACCTCAGCAGGGCCCTTGTGAGGTTAAAATCCATTCAATGATAATAAACCGCTCAGCTAACAATACCTACCTCTTACGTAGCACTGTTCGCCCACAGATCTCAAAGCGCTTTCCAAAGGCCATCAGATCATTATCCTCATTTTACAGATGGGTAAACTGAAGCACAGAGGCCCAGAGGTGACTTGTAAAAGATCACCCAGCAGTCCAGTGGGAGAACCAGGAATAGTCTCCAGCTAATATGGTGATGAGGTCTAGATCAGATAGAAAAGAACTGACCCTGAACTTAACACATAACATGAATCTTGAAACCACGGTGTGGCTTTTATTTGGCAATGGAAGAAGAATTCCGCCTCCACAGGTTAGTATTTATTCTACTTATAAAGCCTTAAAAAGGTACAATGCCAACCTGTACATGATGCTTTGCAAGATAGAGGCAAAGGGAGTAATGCCGATCCCAGCGCCTACCAGCACAGCATGTTCCGAGGTGAAGATCCTTCGCGTAGGTGTCCCATAGGGACCGTCAATATAGCACTGAGAGAGAAGAAAGGCTGCAGTTTGGAGCCACACAAGACACATTTGCTTCAGTTTCACAGAGACACTTCTCATTTTTTTATCTAAAATAACCCCGCACTGGCAGCGGGACGGATAACAGCCTAGGGTCTCACCCGGCATTCTTTGCACAGCCAAAACACCTCCTTAGCTCAACAGGGGATTCAGGGTTGAAGACCAGCACCTTCAGGGAGCTTCTCCACCTTGAATGGAAATAGATGACTCTATGACCCACAAGGCAAGTGCTTTGAACCCAACGTGGCCTCAAAAAACTGGTCTTTTCTTTGGGGCCCTAGCTGAGAGCAGAGATTGATTTGAAAGTCTGGTGTTGATGTGGGTGCTATGCCCTTCTACGGCCTTTGTGCTCCTTACTGTAAGACAGGCAAGTCAGGGAGCTCAGTTCTCAGCCCATGTCCATCATTGGAACTCCGTGGGCTCCTTTGGAGCGTTGCTGATTTACACCTGCTAGGGATCTGAACCAGGATTTTTCCTTGAAAAATGTTTCAGTCATTTTAATTATTTCTCTTATTTCCAGCAAGGCGGTTTTGGCAGCATCCTGTCTGGCTGCATAACATGAGTGAACAGAGCTGTAACTGAGAGATTTAATGTCACTTCAGCTCAGCAGCGCTGACAGAAAAGATGGACACAAGAAACTTTCTGGTGGGTTCTCCACCCGCCCAAAAATCCAGGGAGAAAACAATCCACTCAAACATTGCAAAGCAATTGTCAGGTTGGCTTTTCAGCCAGAAACAGCTGCATTTTCTCTGTTTTGTGTAGACGCAGGGCCAGGAGAGTGCTCCAGCACCAGTCCAGTCACACCCCACAATCTCATTGCCTTTAGGGGGAATGGTGGGGCCCATAGTCAGGTGAACAAGGAGGGGAACCTGAGGGAATGAGATTTACTTTAGCCCCGGAGTGGCACTGCTGGCACATGTAAGGACTACTTACAACAGAAAGGAGTTACAGGCCAGAGTCCTACTGCCCTGTCTGGCTGGTGGGTCTTGCCCACGTGCTCAGGGTCTAACTGATCACCATACTTGGGGTAGGGAAGGAATTTTCTCCCAGGTCAGATTGGCAGAGCCCTGGGGGGTTTAACCTTCCTCTGCAGCATGAGGCACGGGTCCCTTGCAGGTTTAAACTAGTGTAAATGGTGGATTCTCTGTAACTTGAAGTCTTTAAACCATGATTTGAGGACTTCAGTAACTCAGCCAGAGGTTAGGGGTCTATAACAGTGCCCCAAGGGTCAGTCCTGGGACCAGTTCTGTTCAATATCTTCATTAATGATCTGGAGGATGGTGTGGATTGCACCCTCAGCAAGTTTGCAGATGACACTAAGCTGGGAGGAGTGGTAGATACACTGGAGGGTAGGGATAGGATACAGAGCGACCTAGACAAATTAGAAGATTGGGCCAAAAGAAATCTGATGAGGTTCAACAAGGACAAGTGCAGAGTCCTGCACTTAAGACGTAAGAATCCCATGCACCGCTACAGACTAGGGACTGAATGGCTCGGCAGCAGTTCTGCAGAAAAGGACCTAGGGGTTACAGTGGACGAGAAGCTGGATATGAGTCAGCAGTGTGCCCTTGTTGCCAAGAAAGCTAATGGCATTTTGGGCTGTATAAGTAGGGGCACTGCCAGCAGATCGAGGGATGTGATCGTTCCCTTTAATTCGACATTGGTGAGGCCTAATCTGGAGTACTGTGTCCAGTTTGGGGCCCCACTCTACAAGAAGGATGTGGAAAAATTGGAAAGAGTCCAGTGGAGGGCAACAAAAATTATTAGGGGGCTGGAGCACATGACTTATGAGGAGAGGCTGAGGGAACTGGGATTGTTTAGTCTGCAGAAGAGAAGAATGAGGGGAGATTTGATAGCTGCCTTCAACTACCTGAAAGAGGGTTCCAAAGAGGATGGATCTAGACTGTTCTCAGTGGTAGCAGATGACAGAACAAGGAGTAATGGTCTCAAGTTGCAGTGGGGGAGGCTTAGGTTGGATGTTAGGAAAAGCTTTCTCACAAGGAGGGTGGTGAAGCACTGGAATAGGTTACCTAGGGAGGTGCTGGAATCTCCTTCCTTTGAGGTTTTTAAGGTCAGGCTTGACAAAGCCCTGGCTGGGATGATTTAGTTGGGGATTGGTCCTGCTTTGAGCAGGGGGTTGGACTAGATGACCTCCTGAGGTCCCTTCCAACCCTGATATTCTATGATTCTATGAACAGGAGTGGGTGGATGAGGATCTGTGGCCTGCAATGTGCAGGAGACCAGACTAGATGATCATGATAATCCCTTCTGATCTTCAAGTCTATGAGTCAATGATCCTGCAATTGGCTTGGGGTCTGTTTGCCCAGAACCAGCTGCAAACGAGGCGCTTTAACCAGCCACGCAAAGGAGAATCTTACCTTGATATTACAAACTCTGTGATTCTCACTCAGCTTGGTAGAAACCTGTTACATAAAGAAAACCATGTTGCCAAGAGTTGCCAAGAGCAAATGACATTGTTCTCAGAATTTATTCCATCTTGAGTATTAAAGTCACCCTTACTCTGACGCGCCAATAGATCTCCTGGTAATACTTATCTACTTCCTCCCAGATTGGCAGAGACATTCATTTTGGTTATATCATTCCTGACCTAATCACTGCACCAGGAATAAGTCAAATACAGTATTATTTTAGCGCTGCAAGAGTCACTTTCAAGGTAGGTGGCCATGTACCCATTCTTCAGAGAGGAGTAACATAAAGTAAAGGTTTTCTATTTACATTCCATGTTAATAAAAGTTCTCATTATCCAAAATGGGAAGGCCCATTAGTTTAGGGGGAAGATTTTCAAAGGCATTAAATCTCACCCAAGATGTCTGTGTAAATATTCCAGATTGTAATTGAATCAAAAAGGTTGATTCAAAAATGCAATTATTCAAATTCCCACAAATCATGCGTTAGTCGGGCCTAGAAGGGAGAATAAAAGAGGTACAAGAATTTTGATCAGATTGACAATGGTAGGAGGATCTCTGCTAACTGAGAGAAAAGAGAATAGTTCAAAAGCAACAGGGAGAGAAACTCATTAAAAACGGTGCATATAAATTTTTTATCTGTAATGACTACTTCAGCTGTGACAGAATCAATATCCTGAGAGCTTTTCATATCAGATGATAAAAGCCAGTAAACGTGGTTCTCCAACTTTCTAACATTAGTATGATTTATATCTAATTTTCCATTTTTTTCCCCTTAAAAAGAGAGTGTGTGAATCTTTGCTGATTTTAAAATGGCTTCATTTCTATTCCTTGTCTGTCTAAACTGGTCCACTAGTGACTACTGTCTTATTACACATTTCAGCTTTGTAGAGGAATCTTTTCTAAATTTCACAATAAGAAATTCATTATTAAGCCACAAGCGTATCGTTTTCCTGACATGCCACTTTCCAAATGATGCAGATCAGTAGCAAACACAGATAAAAAGCACAAACATCATCCAGTGTCTGCCTGTGTATTTTCTCTACAAAGGACAAAAGGTGAATGTCAATGAGAATTTTATGTGTCCACCTATCAGGGATTATCATGATTTGGGCCTTAATCCAGATCACACTTATGTAGTAAACTTACCAGTACTTACCAGTAAACACATAAATAGTCACATTGAAGTCAATGGGAATAGTCAGATGCTTAAAATTAAACACGTTTGCGGTTGCAGGATTGGAGCCTTACCTACCACTCAGTGCAACTTGGACTACATCACACGCATGACAGTGCATGGTAGATGTAGTCTGACTATGGAACCCAGCCCAGAGTGGAGAATAGGGATATGAGACACCCAAACTATAACCCCCCAGGAGGCAATTCCGCATCAACATTTTTACTTTTTGTGGCCAAAAACCAAAAACACTTTGGATTTTTTGGATATCCAGTTTTTCAATGAAAAATAAAATTTTTCAGCCAAAACAGACACTTTTAGCAAAAAAATTTTTTAGTCAAAACCCCAATTTTCTATAAAAAAAAAAAATTTGGTGGAAAGGTTTTGATTCCTGAATACGGGCCCCAAATGTCCAGCATTTACAAGGTCCTCTCCTCTTACTCATCTACCCCTATCTGAAAAGGGCTCATTCACGCCATCCCGACCCAGCCCAGATGGGGCCGATGCAAAGCCGCCTGAACCCAATAGCCTTGGAAGCATGTAATCAATGGTAAGTTGTCTAGCCAACAAATGAAGGGCCTTTACTTCTCTGATGTGCGGGCTCTCTTCTTCATCCCTTCTGGTGACAGTGATGTCAGCAGGTTCACCGTCAGGGTACTTGGTGGCTTTGTAAGACGTCAGTTCAACCGTTTCATCCTTACTGGTGGCTACTGATGCCTCTGAACCAGATGAGCGGAAAAGATGTTCCTAGAGCCAAATTCAAGGAAAACACTGAGAGCCATGTCACTGAGATAGATGAAACTTTCTTCTCTTTATTGACAGGAGCTATTTTGTCCATCCAGGGCTTCTCTGCTTAGGCCCCAGGGCAGAACACAACTCTAATGAGGGTTAACAAAATAGTTGGCTCATGAGGTTGACCTGTAACTAGACAGGACGTTGTTGGGCATTTTTACCTCCTTTCTCGCTACCCATGTTACAGAGGACAATGTCCAGGACACAGGTCTTCCTGCTTTTCTTACATGCACAAATCTGATACCACGTGGGCAGCAGAATGTCGTGAGGATCGCACAGCCGTGAGATACAGAACCAGATCCTTAGCTCGTGTAAACTGGTGTAGCTCCATTCAAGCCAATGGAACGCTGCAGATTTGCACCAGCCCAGGGTCTGTCTTATTTTTTTTCTAGAGGGAGTGTTGCCCAATGGCTAGAGCACTGGACTGAGATGCTGGAGACCTGGGCTCTGTGCCCAGCTCTGCCACTGGCCGGCTGCGTGATCTTGGGCAAGTAACTTCATCCCACTGTGCCTCTGTTTCCCCTTTTGTAAAATGGGGAGACTGGTACTGCCCTCCTTTGTAGTGCACTGTGATATCTGCTGATGAAGAAGCACTGTATAAGAGCAAGGGATTATTATTAGGCCTTTCAGATAATGGCCTGGTCTGTTTGTTTCAAGTTTCAGTACCACCATGCTACTTTCCAGTCACCATGAGCATGTAATTCTCTTTCCATCTTGATGGTTTTTATTTTAGAATCAGGAAAATCAGCAAACCCATAAAGAATAGATAGAAAATCCCCATGAGAGAGCAGTATGGGGGACTCCAACCTCAGCCTGGAAATGCTTTACAGCCCTGTTCCTCTTCTGCACACTTCCTACATGTGCCCAGAAGCCCAGATCGTACCTACAGCACACCTGCTGTTTGAGAAATAGGAAGTAGCAATGACTCTACCGGAAGACACACAATTCCGATCCGAAACATAGCAGTGACTGTCCACGGGGAAGCATCAGATACGGAACTCTGTGGCGTGTTTTAATAAGCTAACAGAGCCCTCTGTACGTCTGATACTAGGACATCAGCCTGAGCAACCCAGACATTTCTGATCCCACAAGCCATAGGCTTGTAGCAACTGAATATTCTTACTTTTTTGGGTGTCCTCACCAGGAAGAAATGAACAGCCTCCACCTAGGGCAATGTGCGAGGATAAATACAGGCAGGGTCCCTCTCCCATGCTGATGCCAGTGTCACCGTCACCTAGTGGCAGCTGCAGGCACTATCCTACCCTAACACATTTCACAGAAAGCAAACTAAAGGCACTCCTATTTTAAACTATAAAAAGTGATTCATAAAAATAATCCCTGTCCATTACAAACCTGGGTCCATTTGTGGTACCTCTGCTTTCTTAGATTTCTCATTAGCCGTTTAGGCTCCTGGCTGAGTGGTTCAGGCCACCTGAAATATTCATAGAGTCTGCTGGTCCATTGTCCTTGTGATCTTATATGCAGCCAGATGGTATCTGTGAAATGAAGGCAGACTACGGTGAAATATGAAGGAGCCTTGTATAAATATTCTGATGAGGGAATCATACAGCTGGACTGAAACTTTCTCTAGGCAAGAAGCAGAGTGATGTATTTTAAAATCAACAGGCCAAGTTCTTGTCTCGGTTACACCAGTAAAAATCTAGAGGAATTTCTAAGAAGTCCAGTGCAGTTATCCTGGACTTCACGGAGAACAGATTTTGGCCCAGCATTTAAGTTAAGGCTGAATTCCAAGCTTTCAGAAACACCAGAGGGAGTAACAAGGCTGCTAAGGAAAGCTAACCGAAGAAATGCGCTGGCCATTTCAATTAGGTCAATCATCCAATATATCAGCTGCATTCACAGGATCCGTACATGAGATGACATGTTACCCCTAAGATAGTCAGCCCCTTTCTGAGCATGGAATATACGGCAGTATTTCTTGAATTGCACGGAAATAAGTGATTTGGATGAGACAGTTTTTTCGTCTTTGTTTTTCCTCAGAGAAGCCACATTTCCCATGATTCCAGAAAAGGGGGAAGGGCAGAGTGCAGGGCAGGTGGAAATGTTCCCTTTCAGCAGGGATGGGGGAAGCAGAGGTCAGAGGCGGCTGCTGTGAGTTATGCCCATCTGCTTCTCCTTCCAGAAGTGTGGAGCTCACGTCTGCTGGGCGAAGAAGGTGAGGTGGAATACAAGTCCCAGCTCAGCACAGGGAAACCAGACTGGCAAAGAGCTTCCTTTCTTATATGATTAAAAAAAAAAAAAAACCACACACACCTGCTTCTCGGCATGCCACAGCTAGAGCACCTAATTAAATGATTCTTGGATATTGACTCAGTTACTTCAAACGTAGCCCGTTTGCTGCAAAATCTCGCTGCACCATACCAAATGGTCTCTCTCTGCTACTTTATCATTCTAGCCTTTTTGTAAGTAACCATTCCGATTAAATAGCAAAATGGCGCAGTTCTGGTGTCCAGTATAACCACATACCTTGTTGTTCAGGAGCGCTGCTAATGGTGAAAGGATGCCATTCATACTTCGCAATCGCTGGGATATTCAGGTAAACGTAGTCTCCAGGCTTGTAGTGGAAAAACTGTGGTCTCTTAATCACAAGATGAGTCACCTTGATTGAAATGAAAAGCCAAGAGGTAGAAAATTTCTCTGCACACAAGAGAACCCGGCAGACTGTATGTTACCCTAAGCCTCTTCCACTGGCATAGCTTCTCCAGAGCACAACAGCCTCCAAGTCTGTGCCTGCAGTTTTGAGCATGCAAATAATTGTGGGCATATTTTACAGCATACAGATGTCGAGCTACCTCTCTGTTGGTACAGCCAGGCCCCCTCAACTGCAGAGGTGTGACCGATATCTGCCCCAAGCCTGCTTCCATAGAGAGGCCACTGGGAATGGGTGCCCAGACACGGGCCTTTGTGTCAATGTTTGCTGAAAAGGTACTATTAACGCTGACAGAGGATTGCAGGTAACACACTTTCTGCAGATTGTTTCATTTTCAGACAAGTCAAGATGCAGCTCAAGAGAACGCCTTGACTGGCCAAATACTAAACCATGATTCTGTGCCGTTTGTTGTGCTTTTCACATTGGCTTGTGGAGCAGCGACCCAAAAGAAGGGGGAGGACAACTCTTTAGACACTTAAAATAGATTAATTAATGCCCCGGGCCATATAACGTAAGGACCACTTTTGCACCAGGTGAAAGAATAATAACCCCCAGCTCTTAGCAGATCTCAAATCACTTTACAAAGAGGATCAGTATCCACATTTTACAGAGGAGAAACTGAGGCACAGAAACTTGCCCAAAGTCTGGTGAATAGAGACAGGAATTGAACCCAGATCTCCTGAATCCCATGCTGGTGCTTTACCTACTAAGCCAGACTGCCTCCCTATTTCAGCACTGCCATTTCTAATTTCCATGAGTCTAGGGAATGCTGCCACTCCAGCACGTTGCCATAATACACAGTAGACAATCTGAATTTGTCTTTTTAATACCTCTTTTGTCTCACTTTTCCTTCCTTTTCCCGTGTCACATAAGAATAGTTATTATAGAGTGCTTTTCACTGGAATCGCAAAGCACCTTACAAGTGACAAAAGTGCTCCTGTGAAGTAGGGCGAGAATTTTTATCCCCATTTTAGGGAACAGGAAAGAGAGGCAAAGAGGGGTGAAGTGACTTCCCCAAGGTCATGCAGCAAGTCAGTGTTAGAACTAGGAATAGACCCTAGTAAGCTCAATTTCCAATTCTTTATTTCACATCTCACCCCAGCCCCAGCAGTATTTTTAAAACATATTCCCATAACTGCGCATCCTTGGATCACTTTGGGAACAAACCTTTGATGGCAGGAGGTTGATTTCCACAACGTACAGCCCGCCCATGCGTGACACAGCAATGCCAATTGTCTTCTCCACCACAAACAGAAATCCAGGAACCACAAACCATTTCCAGAAATTAGGCCCATGGAGGATTAACAAAGCCCAGATGGAGATGTAGGACAGATGAGTCCAGTAGAAGACCTGCAGGTCACAACAATAACGGATCACTGGGGATACCAGCCTGGCGTCAGTGATGAACAGTAAGAGAGACTAATGAGTGCAGTGGTGGCAAAAGATACAGCCCAGCTGTGGCTGTAGTTTGGGTGAAGTGTCACTAGTTTTCCATCATTCTTTTCTCTGGTATTTCTAGGCACCAGACACAGTACGCTCCAGCTCGGCTTTCCAGCCCAGCCAACAGCGGCCGTGGACAGGTATGAAAAAACAGTCATTCTTAGCAGTAAGGAGCCAGACGTAGCTCTCAGTTATCCTGGTGTAAATGTGGAACCTCCAAGGACTTCAGCATTGCCATTCCTGGCCAACACAAGAGTAACTGAGGTCAGAACCTGCCCCAGGAGGCCCCTGAAATCAGTGGAGTCACTCTGGATTTATAAAGGTGTAACAGAGCGGAAGAGAGGGCACACGACCTCTGTGGCATTGGGGACCGTGCTTCCCAGATGGAGAGTCTGGGCAGGACGTTGTGAAGATCTGGTTGTTGTGCACAGCAAGTTGGTGCCAGGCATAGAGTAAAAGCAAAGCCCTTGTAAGCCCCTCAAGCACTGAACGTCCATCTGCATTGGGCAGCTTTGCAGACAAGGAGCCAGTTCCTGCACTAACCACCCACATGCAGTGGGAGAAGTGTCATTGGATGAGAGTTCCTAACTTGGCCTCACGAGGGATGTAATTACCTGAGTTTGTCTGAATTGCTGGGTTTTATTTCTTAACCCATTAAAGAGCTTTGTTCCCCACCCACCCCCTGCCCTTGTGAGCAGGTTTTTCCTGCTGTCTTTCTACATAGGAGTTTGGCTGCATGGGATTCAGTTAAATGAACCTCTAAGATCAGCTACCAGTTTACACAGTGCCGCCTGGAGAGGGACTAACACGTTATCATCATGCTGCGACTGGAATCGCTGTGGGAAGAAATGTATGAAAATGATCCTGGCAGAAAATATGCAAGTCTCAATGGGATGCAGAATGGGAGACACTGGAGCATACATGACTGCACTGTAACGGAGGGGGCACAAGCAAAACCAAACCCCACTTGCAGAGTGCAGCTGGGGAGTACCTCAAAATGGCCGCTCTTCCGGACAAAGGTGCTGGAACACACTAGCATCATGCAGATGAGGAGCTGCAGTGCAATCCCAGTGAGCGAGGCGCTCCCGTGAATCCAGCCAATCCCGGGCCGAGTGGTGAACAGATATTCCCAAAGCGCGGGGCGATCCTGGATCTGAGTCAGCCTGACTAAACACAGAGAAACATGGGGCTGCAGAGCAGCAGCAGCCAAAGGGATTAGCGCTTTCCACAAGGAGTACAGGATCAACAAGGGGATACTGGGCGTTCCAATGTGGCCATGAACTCCTAGGAGCTGCGGTCCCTGATCCGTTCATTTGTCTGTAAAATGCCACACACACCTCAGATGCAGTGTATCTCAGAGATACACAATGATGACAACAACAAGGGGCCATGTACCAAGGTCTCCCATGGAGTAATATTAACCCTTCTTTGACCAAAAAAGCTTTCAGAGCAATGGAATACAAAGCAATCCTTTCCCTTACTGGGCTGTGGTCCTGGGACCCCATGGCACTAATCCTGTTCCAGTTGCAATCATGTCTCCTTTCTTTATACTTATTAATACAATATATTATTTATGCAAAAAACAAAACTACATCCCACCCTCCCACAAAATACCTCAGGGGTGCCCTTATAAATCAGAGGAAGTTGAAGTCAGGACTGCTGAATGATTTGTCTCAAAGCAGGATCACATTCCACAACTCACTTCAAACATGGGTTGTCAGCAGGGACTGAACCCAAAATCTGGAGCACTTGAGCTAAAGAGAAACTCCATTAGCTGGTAACTGTAAAAAGCTTTTAACCTCATATCAGGGGAAGCCACTAGAGGGGGACAACACACAATGAACCAGTGGATTACGTACAGCGCCAATCCCTTCCTGTCTCATATACACTTCTACCTTAGTTGAAACCTTACACAATTATTAGCAATGGGAAGAGTGAAAATAAAATGCTGAGCTGATCTTACAAGTAAACCTGCCTTAAATCAATTGCTCCCCAAACTTTTGAAAGCTGAACCCCGTCCCCTTTAGGAATATGGAATCAATTTTGCCCCTTCAGTCTCACCGTATCTCATTAAAGGCCTGCTCTTGTTAAATGTATACATCTTCCATGCCCCCCATGCTCTCCCCTGGATAATCCCTAGAACCCCCCTCTACTTTAGGACATGCTGGAGCAAACTTTACAATTCTTCCTCTCTTTTCTTACATCCCTTGATGTGCAGTTAAAAAGGCTGACATTTAAAGAAGCTTTATTATTGGTATCCAAAATGAATGGGGCAAATCACACCTCAGAGTTATTGTTTTTTATTGCAGACTCAGGTAGATGTTGCTATGTCAGTTACACACAAGGCAGTTTCCCCTATCAGAGCTATTGTCTCAGGATCTCTTTAATTCAGGTAGACCAAGGCTACATTGGTTATCCAGGAGTCATGTTTTGAACGGTTTCTTTGCAACCATAACACCTAGAGACCAACTTTTTTGTTAAAAGCTCAGACCCTGGAGAACAATGAAGAGGTTTGTCTGCACCCTGCTGGCTGGTCTTTCATGCCCCCATTACCCTCTCACCAGGGGGTGCACCCCATACTTTAGAAAATGCTGCTTTATCAAGTCTGTATTTAATGTAGATTTCAATCCTTTTTTTTTAGTAGCTGATGTTCTTTATAGTTAAAGAGGAGTTGGCATTTTCCATTTTAATAATTGATGGTTTTTCCTCTTTAGATCACTCAAGATTTTCATAGTACGTTAGAAGAATGGTGGCATGAGCAAAGCATATTGCAAATAAAAGAATCATAGCAATTATTGCATGGGGGCATGGGCAAGCAGAGGATTTACTACTCACCAAAGTTCCCCACATGTGCTCCGGTGTGAACTGCTGTGAGAGCCCCCACCACGTACCCCACGAGCTGGTGGAAGAGGACGTTTTGGTCTAGCGGGAAAACTTTCGCAACCCAGGTAGCTCGCAACCACGTCAGGCAACGGCGCAGCATGAGCACCTTTGAGAACCGGATGACAGTAACAGTCACGCTTTGCTGTTACAGCCCTTTCCATCAGGAGACAGGGCCATAGAGTTTAGGGCCAGAAGGGACCATCAGATCATCTGGTCTGACCTCCGTGTATCACAGCCCTTAACTCCACCCAACAAACTTACTTCAAAGCCCTTTGCTAAGGTGAGGTAGTAACATCATCCTGACAAGACAGATGGTAAAAAGACTCGCCCAGGGTCACAGTCAGGAGCTGAACCCAGCTCTCCTGAGTCCGAGCCCAGTGCCCTTCTCATGGGGCCATCCTACCCCTCTTTACCTTTGAGTAAAAGCTAAAAAAGACCAGAGGGATGTCTTTGTACTGGCTGCTCTGGGGTGAGGACAGTCCTGGTTTTACTTGCTCTCACATAGTTCATATCCTTCTTCCTGTCTGTTATTCTTTAACTTTTTATTTTTAACTTTGATTGTCTGATTCTCGGAAATATTCCCCAGAGAGTGACACGACCACGCGTTCCATTTCCTGCCATTGCAAAGAGCAGTGTGGCCGGCCCAGTGAGTTCCACGGTAACCTGGGCCATGTCTACAGAGGAGCTGGAGGAGTAATTCCCGGCTCGGGTAGACATACCGTGCTAGCTTTGGTCGAGCTAGCGTGCTTAAAATAGTAGCCACAGCTGCAGAAGTGGCAGGACAACCCTAGGTACGTACTCGGGGCAGCTAGCTGACCCTGACACCCGTGCAGCTGCCCCAAGGATGTACCTAGGGCTCTATTTTTAGCTCCATCAGAGTTAGCACGGCTCTACCCAAACTGGAAATAATGCTCCAGCGTGGACATGCCTTATGATTCTTCCAGCTGAAGTGTTGTCAAAGTAACGAGAACACAGTCCTGTGGGGTTTGTCGAGTCTGGTACTAGTCAATATTTTCATTAATAACGTGGATAATGGAGTAGGCTTATACAATTTGTGGATGACACCAAGTTGGGAGGGGTTTCAAGCGCTTTCGAGACAGGATTAGAATTCAAAACAACTGTGACAAATTGGAGAATTGGTCTGAAATCAACAAGATGAAATTCAATAAAGACAAAGGCAAAGTACTTGTCTTAATGATTGCCAACATTTCCCCTTTTGAACATAAGCAAAGCAGAACTGCTGCATGCCCTCACAGAAAAAGCAAGAATCCCCTCTCCCTTAGAAATCCTATTTCCTGAGTGCAGGCGGGGTGAAGGGAAATAACTAGCCAGGTGGCAGTACTGCTGGAAAGGGTCCGGGGGTTGGAGTGGATCACAGATTGAATATGAGTCAACAATGTGATGCAGTTGTGAAAAAGACTAATATCGTTCTGGGATGTTGGCCTCAGCTAGAGAATTGCATCCACCTCTGGGAACCACATATAAGGAAGGATGTGGACAAATTTGAGAGTACAGAGGAGAGAAACCAAAATGATCAACAGTTTAGAAAACCTGACCTGTGAGGAAAGGTTAACAAAACTGGGCATGTTTAGTCTTGAGAAAAGAAGTCTGAAGGGGGACCTGAGAACAGTCTGCAAATATGTTAAGAGCTGTTATAAAGAGGACAGTAATCAATTATTCTCCATGGCCACTGAAGGTAGGACAAGTAGTAATGGGCTCAATCTGCAGCAAGGGAGATGTAGGTTAGATATTAGGAAAAACTTTCTAACCATAAGGGTAGTTAAACTCTGGACCAGGCTCCCAAGGGAGGTTGTGGAATCCCCATCACTGGAGGTTTCTAAGCACAAGTTGGACAACCTCCTGTCAGGCATGGTCTAGGTTTGCGTGGTCCTGCCTCAGTGCAGAGGACTGGACCCGATGACCTCTCCGGGTCCCTTCCAGGCCCACATTTCTACGATTCCATGCTTCACTCTTCTAGAGCCCCTGCCACGCAAGCACTAACCTCAGCCCCTTGTGACCCCTGATTCATGAACCCTCCAAGAGCGCTGGGAGGGAGGTGTGACCGCCCCCATCTATCTGGAGAGGCACAGGACTCACCCCAAGGAAGGTGCAGTTGAAGTTCAGACACTGCCCGCAGCCTTTCGCCATCATGACCCAGCCCCCGAGGGGCGAGTGCCGCAGAGCAGCCCAGGTGAAGAGGAGGGTATTCAGGCACAGGTAGCTGCCCATGAAGAGCAGCTTGCTCCTGTTGTTGTGCCAGTAGGCTGGGGTTAAGTAGCGCGGCGTGTGCCTCTTCTGTTCCACGGTCGGGGGCTTTAGCCAGTTGGCGGCACTGTTGGAAAGGGAGGGAACATGAAGGGAAGAGGTCTGTTACAAAGCAACCAGCTCCCAGGCTCTGCAGCTGTGAGAAGAGCACTGGGGAAGGCCCTGCACCCACTCTCCAAGGGGAACTCCCAGGGTTGCCAGTGGCAGCAGCTGCAGGATGCTCTCCTTTGGGTTTCAACTGCAAGTAGCGTTCCTGCCCCCAGACTTTACACCTCCATATAATCCATATAAAACTAAGTCCCTGGCCATAGCATCAAACAGCCTCCAGCTCCAGCTTACAACCAGCTTGATATTAACCCATCCGGATGGGTCATCGAGCAGGTGGCAGCTGTCAAATACATGGGCAGTGTCCCAGATAGGGCTGAAGGAGGCTTGTAAGATGTGGACGCTTGCATAGCAGCAGCGGCTTCCATGTTTGGGGCCCACCAGCAGCCTTTGTGGGGAAGTCGTGACATCATGTTTGCTACAAAGCTGCTCTGTTGTATGGATACGAAACATGGGCACAGAGGCGGGCTGAAGGTCACTGGATTGACGTGTTCAATTCTCGTTGTCTCCTCCTGCATGTCAAATGGCAGGACAAGCTCGGCAACAAGGATATTCAAAGCCAAACCCAGCAACCGCCTCCATCAGCACTGGTTCGGTTTTAGCGGCTTGGTTGGTATGGCTATATTATTAGAATGGAAGACCAACGAAGTCCAGCGTGTATGTACCAAGGAATGTTGCTACACGGCCAGTGACTATGAGGGCACCAAAAGCTTCAGTGGCGCAACAAGCTTGCCAGTGCTAGAGAGAAACCGAACGCACAATCAGACCACCTTAACCATCTTGCCAGAGATCGATCTGGGTGGTGCTAGGTTTGCAAGAAGGCCATGTCCCTTTGGGATTTGCCAAGACGATGATGATGACTACATGCCCCTACACGTTGGTGCTGGTCTTCCACCGGGCTGCAGGGAAGAGATTGCAGCCATTTTGCACCATCTTGAGCATATCATACCTCTGGGACCCTTTGGATAGATTGAGAGCAGTAGAAGAGTATAAACTCTGGCTGCCTTTGGCCTGAGCTCTTGGTTTACCGTCTGGAATGTCCCCTGGGCTGCTCTGCTCACGCAGTGCACTACTGGTTCCTAGATGAATCAGGATTGGTGGAGAAGGATTTGGATAAAGTTACTGGAACACAAACCCTCCTTCCCGGGGGCTGTAATGGCCACAAAGGTGAGCAGTGGGAGCCTACAATAAATGGACAGATGGAGGCACCCTGAAGTCCCAACTTCTTGAAGCACAGAAAGTGGAAAGGCAGCTGTAAGTCACTAACAGGAGGAAACCGAATAGGTGGAGATGATGTGCCTAAGTCATTCCACAATGCCGGAGAAGGGTCAATGTCCCTCAGTTAATGCTGATTAGGTGGAATCAGGAGATTCGCCTTATGGAAATAAGAATGAGAGGTATCCCACTGGGCTCCTCACATTCTGACGGTATCTCTACTGAAGTATCTATTGAGAGAGGGGAACCATCCTGAATGATACCGCTACCCTCGGCTCTAGATGGGCCTTTAATTGTACAGATTAGGAGGAGAGTCAATTGTGATGTGTAATGTCTAGAACACTACAGTATTTTGCTCCCGTTCACATTCTGATGGTTCACATGGCAAGACTCACTCCTGGCCTCTTCTCCTCCGGGAAGAGCATTTCACAGCACACGACAAGCAGCATTTCTGAAGTGCAACCATGCTCTTCATTTCAGCAGGGGATGCTTGCAGCGCCTCGCAGGAGATGCTCAGGATCTTAGGCCCTTCATTTTTAAACATCACTGCCCTGTTCTGATGGTTAGTCCTGCACTGCAGCAGCACAGAAACTGGTGTCCGGTTTCTCACACTGGGCATCGGTAAGCGAGTGTCACAAACCATGCCAGCTCCCTGCTCGATGGCAGCTGCCAGCAATAGACTCAAGCATGCCAAGTCTGTGTAGTTGGAGCACAGCATGGTGGGCGTCTTGCCCTGAGAATGTCCAAGCAGCCCCATTGTGGACAGAAGGGATGTAGCTTCCTTTAAGTGAGCTGCTTCTCAAAAATCACCTCCAGGCCTCGGACGGGATCCCAGGCCTCGTGCTCTCCCGATGAGGGAAGGGTTTGGTACAGGGACACTTAATCACAAAGGGAAAAAATAAAAAGCACCCCTCCGCGGGGAGGCCGCTATGAGCATAAATAATGATATTGAAGGAGCCTGTGAAATCGGGGAAGAGCAAGGTGCTACCAAGGAAAATGCAGTTCTAATATACAGCGCTGATTAGGAACCCAGAGGGGCCTGTCAAAGCCATTACCTTATGGTTAAGTTCTCCATGACCTCTGGAAAGCATTCTAGTTCCTCCTTGAGTTCCTCAAAAGTGATGGAGCCACTGTTGTCTTTGTCAGCCGACTCAAAAAGAGCCAGCGTGAGGTCATCCAGTTTCTCCTCTGGCAAGGATATTGTGCTCTCCTTCAGACATGATTTCAGGACTGTGCGCAGTTCATCCGGGTCGATGGAACCACTGCCTACAATGAGCAAGAATTTGCATCTGACACAGATGAAAGTAATAACACATTTGCTCCTGTGTTACCAAGACAACAAAAGGATACACAACAGCTAGTGAACGGGTTTATGAAAACCCTGGGTGCTTTTAGTTTTATCTTCCCCTTGGATACAGAAACAGGCCTCCTTCCTTGCACTCAGGATTTTCATTGGGAAATTGTGCCCCAAGGGTAAGGTTGGCTAATTGTTGATAGATTAGAAAAAAATCAGTTTAATGTAGATTAAGTAGTGAGTGATCTATGTGAAACAACTATTTTGAGAATGTGAATTCCAATCTTGATTGACAATGTTCACCATTATGAAATCCACACAGACATGCTTAACTGGCTGCAAAATGTAAAGACAAATTAGCTTGGAAAGAGATCTGGTTCTTAGTTTTGTAGCCAATCCTTTAAGCTCAATTAGGTCAGAGCAGAAAATACTGCCAGGTCAGAACTGGGACGTTTATTTTGCTGATGTTTTCACTTTTCCTAGCCTGTATATAAACCAACGTTTCACATGTACCAGAATTTCAATACTGGACCAAACAAAAAAGCATGACCCTCAAAACTAAACCTCTTTGCAAATTTCAAGTTGAGGCAGGTATGTTTTAGAATCAGGTCCCTAGCTTCAAACTTGCCCCTGTAGTTTTGATCAAACCATTCACTATAAATAATATTTTTGAACAAATATGTTTTGTTAACAAAATACTTTTTATTGTCTTTGACTGCACTTGTTCTTCACTGCGTGTGTTTAAATACTGTGTATAAATAATTAAAATAGTCATTGGTGCAATCAGTGCATTAATTAATCTCTTTCTCTGTGTACCAAAATCAGAGGTGTGACTGCAGCGTGTGTCGACATCCCCAAGCTAGCTGTCATGTAGCTTGCTCGAATAACAATAATAATGATGCTGTGGCAGCATGGGCTAGCCACCTGAATACATATCCAGAATCTTGCATGGACTTGTACAACCAGTGCTGCCATGGCTTCACTGCTATTGATGGGGATGGCTATGCATGCCACAGTCACACCTCTGATTGTGGCGTAGGCATACTCTCTCTCTCTCTGTGGCCCAATTAATATTTAATTATTTATACAGAGTGGAACAGCTCCAACAAGGGAGATTGGGAGGGAGTTACCCCATGATCCAGTGGTGAGAGGACTCAGCTAGGAGGCGACCGATCTGGGTTCAAATCCCTGCTCTACCCCTAGCAGAGTGAGGATTTGAATCGGGGTCTCTCACATCCTGGTGAGTGCTGCAGCCACTGGGCTATTGGGTAAAAGTGGGAGGGGGGTACCCGCCTGCCCTGGCTGTATTCTGTGTGGGGTCTGATCCACTAGATGTGCTCTAAGGGGGTCTCTCAGCACACCGACCCGATCAGGCCCCACAAGTGAGATAGATGAAGGAAGGCCTAGTTCAAGAATCCTCCTGGGGCTGAGTTGTGAGTTAGGTGCTGAGCTCCTTGGCAGTGTCAGGACTGAGGTGGCTGTGTATGTACCCCATGACAGAGGTGGAGGTACCTAGGGGACTTTACAAATGGAAACATAGGGACTTAGGCAGCAGTAGCTCTGATGATCTAAAGTTTGGACTTAGGTTCCGAACGTAGCAGTGAGGTGTGTAAGTCCCCTTGGTGAATCTAGCCCTAAAGGTTTGGCTCCTCTCCAGCATCTAGGGTAAGAACATACCGAGGTAGAACTTACAATTGAAGCTAGTTTAATTGCTGCCTTTTATGGGTATTTTTGAGACTTTCATCACAGATGGGGAAGATTGAAAAGTCATGGATTTCAAAGTTAAGCTTGATAGATGGTTTAGAAGTGTCCATTACCGATAGTTCTCAGACAGATTGCTTTAATTCAGGAGAGAAGTCTATGTTGTGCTGGAAGAGGACAAGGGTGGCGCTATAGAATATTAGAGAATGGCTTCAGCTGAGCTGTCCGATTCATATAAATATATGCTAATGGCATGTCCCCTCCACCCATCTTTAAGAAGGCAGAAGCACTCTCATGGTCAGGAGGACAGCAGCATTGATATCCAAATGACAACTGGGGGTAAGTATGTTCTTCAGAATCTTACCATCTACGTCGTAAACTTGGAAGAGGAATCTTAGCTTGTCTGTTTCGTCTCCATGTATGAGAAGGTTCAAGGCTTTGAGTAACTCATCTAAACTAATGGTTCCACTCCCATCAGAATCAAACAATGCAAAGAACCTCTCCGCGAAGAAGGACTACAGAAAGGAGAACAAATATTTTCAACAACACTTGAGGAGAACTCCTTATAAACCCAAGCCAGAACTTTTCCATTAACATCAATGGAAATTTTGGCTTAGTAAGGGCTGAATATCATGGTGATGGGCAACCTTAGGAAAAACTAGTCAGACGAACAGACTAAGACTTAAAGATTTATCCCTAGTCTTTCACCTGTGGTTTCCATCACTGCTAACAATATACGACGAGTACTGTGATAATCAAAGCTCTTTATAACCCTTCTTCATTAGCCCCACCATTCTATTTTTAAGCTTCACTTTTCTAATTAGAAAAGGAGTACTTGTGGCACCTTAGAGACTAACCAATTTATTTGAGCATAAGCTTTCGTGAGCTACAGCTCACTTCATCGGATGCATACTGCGGAAAGTGTAGAAGATCTTTTTATATACACACACAGCATGAAAAAATACCTCCTCCCACCCCACTCTCCTGCTGGTAATAGCTTATCTAAAGTGATCACTCTCCTTTCAATGTGTATGATAATCAAGGTTGGCCATTTCCAGCACAAATCCAGGGTTTAACAAGAACGTCTTGGGGGGGGGTGGGGGGCAACAATGGGAAATAGGTTACCTTGCATAATGACTTAGCCACTCCCAATCTCTATTCAAGCCTAAGTTAATTGTATCAAATTTGCAAATGAATTCCAATTCAAAAGTTTCTCGTTGGAGTCTGGATTTGAAGTTTTTTTGTTGTAATATCACAACTTTCATGTCTGTAATTGCGTGACCAGAGAGACTGAAGTGTTCTCCGACTCGTTTATGAATGTTATAATTCTTGACATCTGATTTGTGTCCATTTATTCTTTTACGTAGAGACTGTCCAGTTTGACCAATGTACATGGCAGAGGGGCATTGCTGGCACATGATGCCATATATCACATTGGTGGATGTGCAGGTGAACGAGCCTCTGATAGTGTGGCTGATGTTATTAGGCCCTGTGATGGTGTCCCCTGAATAGATATGTGGGCACAGTTGGCAACGGGCTTTGTTGCAAGGATCGGTTCCTGGGTTAGTGGTTCTGTTGTGTGGTATGTGGTTGCTGGTGAGTATTTGCTTCAGGTTGGGGGGGCAGCAGGAGAGTGGGGTGGGAGGAGGTACTTTTTCATGCTTTGTGTGTATAGAAAAAGATCTTCTACACTTTCCACAGTATGCATCCGATGAAGTGAGCTGTAGCTCACGAAAGCTTATGCTCAAATAAATTGGTTAGTCTCTAAGGTGCCACAAGTACTCCTTTTCTTTTTGCGAATACAGACTAACACGGCTGTTACTCTGAAACTTTTCTAAGGGTATGTCTACACTACGGAATAAGGTCGAATTTATAGAAGTCGGTTTTTTAGAAATCGGTTTTATATATTCGAGTGTGTGTGTCCCCACAGAAAATGCTCTAAGTGCATTAAGTGCATTAACTCGGCGGAGCGCTTCCACAGTACCGAGGCTAGAGTCGACTTCCGGAGCGTTGCACTGTGGGTAGCTATCCCACAGTTCCCGCAGTCTCCGCTGCCCATTGGAATTCTGGGTTGAGATCCCAATGCCTGATGGGGCTAAAACATTGTCGCGGGTGGTTCTGGGTACATATCGTCAGGCCCCCGTTCCCTCCCTCCCTCCGTGAAAGCAAGGGCAGACAATCATTTCGCGCCTTTTTTCCTGAGTTACCTGTGCAGACGCCATACCACTGCAAGCATGGAGCCCGCTCAGGTAACCGTCACCCTATGTCTCCTGGGTGCTGGCAGACGCGGTACGGCATTGCTACACAGTAGCAGCAACCCCTTGCCTTGTGGCAGCAGACGGTACAGTACGACTGGTAGCCGTCATCGTCATGTCCGAGGTGCTCCTGGCCACGTCGGCTGGGAGCGCCTGGGCAGACATGGGTGCAGGGACTAAATTTGGAGTGACTTGACCAGGTCATTCTCTTTAGTCCTGCCTGCAGTCAGTCCTATTGAACCGTCTTATGGTGAGCGGGCAGGCGATACGGACTGCTAGCAGTCGTACTGTACCATCTTCTGCCGAGCAGCCATGAGATGTGGATGGCATGCAGTCCTTCTGCACCGTCTGCTGCCAGCCAAAGATGTAAAAGATAGATGGAGTGGATCAAAACAAGAAATAGACCAGATTTGTTTTGTACTCATTTGCTTCCCCCCCTCCCCTGTCTAGGGGACTCATTCTTCTAGATCACACTGCAGTCACTCACAGAGAAGGTGCAGCGAGGTAAATCTAGCCATGTATCAATCAGAGGCCAGGCTAACCTTCTTGTTCCAATAAGGACAATAACTTAGGTGCACCATTTCTTATTGGAACCCTCCGTGAAGTCCTGCCTGAAATACTCCTTGATGTACAGGCACCCCCTTTGTTGATTTTAGCTCCCTGAAGCCAACTCTGTAAGCCGTGTCGTCAGTCGCCCCTCCCTCCGTCAGAGCAACGGCAGACAATCGTTCCGCGCCTTTTTTCTGTGCGGACGCCATACCAAGGCAAGCATGGAGGCCGCTCAGCTCACTTTGGCAATTAGGAGCACATTAAACACCACACGCATTATCCAGCAGTATATGCAGCACCAGAACCTGGCAAAGCGATACCGGGCGAGGAGGCGACGTCAGCGCGGTCACGTGAGTGATCAGGACATGGACACAGATTTCTCTGAAAGCATGGGCCCTGCCAATGCATGCATCATGGTGCTAATGGGGCAGGTTCATGCTGTGGAATGCCGATTCTGGGCTCGGGAAACAAGCACAGACTGGTGGGACCGCATAGTGTTGCAGGTCTGGGACGATTCCCAGTGGCTGCGAAACTTTCGCATGCGTAAGGGCACTTTCATGGAACTTTGTGACTTGCTTTCCCCTGCCCTGAGGCGCATGAATACCAAGATGAGAGCAGCCCTCACAGTTGAGAAGCAAGTGGCGATAGCCCTGTGGAAGCTTGCAACGCCAGACAGCTACCGGTCAGTTGGGAATCAATTTGGAGTGGGCAAATCTACTGTGGGGGCTGCTGTGATGCAAGTAGCCCACGCAATCAAAGATCTGCTGATATCAAGGGTAGAGACCCTGGGAAATGTGCAGGTCATAGTGGATGGCTTTGCTGCAATGGGATTCCCTAACTGTGGTGGGGCCATAGATGGAACCCATATCCCTATCTTGGCACCGGAGCACCAAGCCGCCGAGTACATAAACCGCAAGGGGTACTTTTCAATAGTGCTGCAAGCTCTGGTGGATCACAAGGGACGTTTCACCAACATTAACGTGGGATGGCTGGGAAAGGTGCATGATGCTCGCATCTTCAGGAACTCTGGTCTGTTTCAAAAGCTGCAGGAAGGGACTTTATTCCCAGACCAGAAAATAACTGTTGGGGATGTTGAAATGCCTATATGTATCCTTGGGGACCCAGCCTACCCCTTAATGCCATGGCTCATGAAGCCGTACACAGGCAGCCTGGACAGTGGTCAGGAGCTGTTCAACTACAGGCTGAGCAAGTGCAGAATGGTGGTAGAATGTGCATTTGGACGTTTAAAGGCGCGCTGGCGCAGTTTACTGACTCGCTTAGACCTCAGCGAAACCAATATTCCCACTGTTATTACTGCTTGCTGTGTGCTCCACAATATCTGTGAGAGTAAGGGGGAGACGTTTATGGCGGGGTGGGAGGTTGAGGCAAATCGCCTGGCTGCTGGTTACGCGCAGCCAGACACCAGGGCGGTTAGAAGAGCACAGGAGGGCACGGTACACATCAGAGAAGCTTTGAAAACCAGTTTCATGACTGGCCAGGCTACGGTGTGAAAGTTCTGTTTGTTTCTCCTTGATGAAACCCCCCGCCCCTTGGTTCACTCTACTTCCCTGTAAGCTAACCACCCGCCCCTCCTCCCTTCGATCACCGCTTGCAGAGGCAATAAAGTCATTGTTGCTTCACATTCATGCATTCTTTATTCATTCATCACACAAATAGGGGGATGACTACCAAGGTAGCCCAGGAGGGGTGGTGGAGGAGGGAAGGAAAATGCCACACAGCACTTTAAAAGTTTACAACTTTAAAATTTATTGAATGACAGCCTTCTTTTTTTTGGGCAATCCTCTGTGGTGGAGTGGCTGGTTGGCCGGAGGCCCCCCCATCGCGTTCTTGGGCGTCTGGGTGTGGAGGCTATGGAACTTGGGGAGGAGGGCGGTTGGTTACAGAGGGGCTGCAGTGGCAGTCTGTGCTCCAGCTGCCTTTGCTGCAGCTCAACCATACACTGGAGCATACTGGTTTTGTCCTGCAGCAGCCTCAGCATTGAATCCTGCCTCCTCTCATCACGCTGCCGCCACATTTGAGCTTCAGCCCTGTCTTCAGCCCGCCACTTACTCTCTTCAGCCCACCACTTACTCTCTTCAGCCCGCCACCTCTCCTCCCGGTCATTTTGTGCTTTCCTGGACTCTGACATTATTTGACATTATTTGCCTCCACGCATTCGTCTGTGCTCTGTCAGTGTGGGAGGACAGCATGAGCTCGGAGAACATTTCATCTCGAGTGCGTTTTTTTTTTTCTTTCTAAGCTTCACTAGCCTCTGGGAAGGAGAAGATCCTGTGATCATTGAAACACATGCAGCTGGTGGAGAAAAAAAAAAGGGACAGCGGTATTTAAAAAGACACATTTTATAAAACAGTGGCTACACTCTTTCAGGGTAAACCTTGCTGTTAACATTACATACATAGCACATGTGCTTTCGTTACAAGGTCGCATTTTGCCTCCTCCCACCGCGTGACTACCCCCTCAACCTTCCCCCCTCCCTGTGGCTAACAGCGGGGAACATTTCTGTTTAGCCACAGGCAAACAGCCCAGCAGGAATGGGCTCCTCTGAGTGTCCCCTGAAGAAAAGCACTCTATTTCAACCAGGTGACCATGAATTATATCTCACTCTCCTGAGGATAACACAGAGAGATAAAGACGGATGTTGTTTGAATGCCAGCAAACATACACTGCAATGCTTTGTTCTACAATGATTCCCGAGTACGTGTTACTGGCCTGGAGTGGTAAAGTGTCCTACCATGAAGGACGCAATAAGGCTGCCCTCCCCAGAAACCTTTTGCAAAGGCTTTAGGACTACATCTAGGAGAACCGCAAATGCCAGGGCAAAGTAATCCTTTCACATGCTTGCTTTTAAACCATGTATAGTATTTTAAAAGGTACACTCACCAGAGGTCCCTTCTCCGCCTGCTGGGTCCAGGAGGCAGCCTTGGGTGGGTTCGGGGGTACTGGCTCCAGGTCTAGGGTGAGAAACAGTTCCTGGCTGTCGGGAAAACCGGTTTCTCCGCTTGCTTGCTGTGAGCTATCTACAACCTCCTCCTCATCATCATCTTCTTCGTCCCCAAAACCTGCTTCCGTATTGCCTCCATCTCCACTGAAGGAGTCAAACAACACGGCTGGGGTAGTGGTGGCTGAACCCCCTAAAATGGCATGCAGCTCATCATAGAAGCGGCATGTTTGGGGCTCTGACCCGGAGCGGCTGTTCGCCTCTCTGGTTTTCTGGTAGGCTTGCCTCAGCTCCTTCAGTTTCACGCGGCACTGCTTCGGGTCCCTGTTATGGCCTCTGTCCTTCATGCCCTGGGAGATTTTCAGAAAGGTTTTGGCATTTCGAAAACTGGAACGGAGTTCTGATAGCACGGATTCCTCTCCCCAAACAGCGATCAGATCCCGTACCTCCCGTTCGGTCCATGCTGGAGCTCTTTTGCGATTCTGGGACTCCATCATGGTCACCTCTGCTGATGAGCTCTGCATGGTCACCTGCAGCTTGCCACGCTGGCCAAACAGGAAATGAGATTCAAAAGTTCGCGGTTCTTTTCCTGTCTACCTGGCCAGTGCATCTGAGTTGAGAGTGCTGTCCAGAGCGGTCACAATGGAGCACTCTGGGATAGCTCCCGGAGGCCAGTACCATCGAATTGTGTCCACAGTACCCCAAATTCGAGCCGGCAATGTCGATTTAAGCGCTAATCCACTTGTCAGGGGTGGAGTAAGGAAATCGATTTTAAGAGCCCTTTAAGTCGAAATAAAGGGCTTCATTGTGTGGACGGGTGCAGGTTTACATCGATTTAACGCTGCTAAATTCGACCTAAAGTCCTAGTGTAGACCAGGGCTAATTAAGACAGGACAACAACAGACCACAGACCTTTTCAATCTGCCAGTATTGTTTGGCACTAACTACTAACAAAAGGGTGAAGTCTAATAATACCTCTACAGTCTGAGCTCACATCTGGCTATCTGAACAGAAACACAGCAGATCATCAGCCAAACTCCCCCCAAACCCCAAAGAACTTGCCTCTTTCACTTTCAGAGCAGTTTTGAATTCTTCCAAGTCAATTTCTTTACCTTCCCCAGCGATGCTTTCAAACTGCTTCGTTACCCACTCAAGCCATTGGGTATCATCGTCTATACTCATTGTGCTAGAAATAAAAAAAAGGCACCATTAAACACTGTCACTAGGACTTCATGTTAATTGCTCAGATTTAGAAATGCCTTATTAGGCACATTAGAGAGACAACATGGCTGAGGTAATATCTTTTATTGAACCAACTTCTGTTGGTGAATGAGACAAGCTTTCAAGTTACACCAAGCTCCTCTTTGGCTCTGTGAAATGCACTCAGTGCCACAGCTAAATACAAGGTGGAACAGATTCTTTAGCACAAGTATTTAACACTTATTATAAGAGACCATTCAAGGTGGAGTGGACTGTTAACAACTCTCCAGTCATGGGGCTAGTGGGTTACGGATCATTGTAAGAAGCCATAAATCCGGTTTCAGAGTAACAGCTGTGTTCGTCTGTATTTGCAGAAAGAAAAGGAGTACTTGTGGCACCATAGAGACTAACCAATTTATTTGAGCATGAGCTTTCGTGAGCTACAGCTCACTTCATCGGATGCAACTTCCGATGAAGTGAGCTGTAGCTCACGAAAGCTTATGCTCAAATAAATTGGTTAGTCTCTACGGTGCCACAAGTACTCCTTTTCTTTTCATAAATCCGGTGTCTCTGTTCAGTCCATGATTTTTAGTGTCTAGCAAAGTTATAAATTCAAGTTCCCAGGGGCATCTTTTGAAGCCATTGTGCAGCTTTCCTTTGAGGACGCAGCCTGAGAGGTGAGCTATGGAGTAACTGTTTCGTGAAAGGTGTTTGCCCAGCCTCTTGTATCATTTCTCTGTGTGAGGATGATTGTCTGGTTTCATCCACACAGTTGTTATTAGGGCATTTAGTGCACTGGATCAGACATATAGCAGTAAGGGATCCGTTTTGGTTTGATAATGCTTTGGGAATTGAGAATACTTTGAGAATTATATTTCAATATCTTCCTATCATTGGTGTTTCCCCTAGGCCTCTGTTAAAATAGCAGGTACAGCTGTCCAGCCAGTGCCAGCCTCCTCTGTGTCCAGATCCAGTTGCCAGGTCCCAGTCCCAGTCTCTCCCCACCCCATGGTCCTTGTCCACTACTCCCTCTGCTATGCCCTGCACTCCATTTGCCTCTTATCTTCTGCATTTGAGTCAAGCTGTGTCCTCCGCAACACTGCTTGAGTGCCAGCCCAGGGAGCATTGGGGGTACAATAAAGACCATCTCCTGGCTCTCAGTTCCTATGCCCAGTACCAGAGCAGTCAGGAGCAGCACTTGCCGGCAAAACCCTGCTCATCCCTTGCAGCCACGGGCTGGAGCATGCTCGGTATAGATGGAATCTTCGCAGAATTTAGCTGCCAAACTCTCACATCTCTACTGTGCATGTGCAAACTGAAACTTTTCAAAAGCTAATAACTTAGCCAGATTTGGCATTTTGTCAAGGGAACAGCAAAAATGCATATCCCCAGGCCAGGACAAATTTCACAAATTTACCACAAAACCCTGGGGAGCTAAAGGCTTTAAATGAAACTGCTATAGGAATTTTTTTAACCTGGGCAAAATAAATGTATTTTTCCCTAGTCTTGTTCTCAGAAATGGCAGAACCATTTTTGCTGAAACTTAAAAACAAAAAACAAAAATCAGACCGAGACAGACACCTGGCATGCAAAATTTCAACCCAAATTGTTAACGTCTGGTAAAGTTACAAATAACTGAAAACAGGGTTTTATAATGGGAAGTATCAAGGAACCTTAACTACCAGGCAGAATTACCAGCTTTACTTATCATAAGAACATAAGAATGGCCATAGTGGGTTAGACCAATGGTCCATAAAAACAGGAAAGAGAGAATAGTCAACAAGTCGTTTCAGTATTGTAAATCATCCCATGTGTCATGTTCTATTAAACTAAAACCCTTCCAGATACCAGATCCCATTCTTACATCTCCAGGAGTCAGCCAAATAGGGATCATCATAAGAATTTTACACTCCTCCTGAAAGGATCTTCCAGTAATATATCGGGTATTTTTATATCCAGTTTATATGTGTGTAAGAGAGACACAAACAAACTAGGTATAAAATACTTGACACGGCTACACAGGTTTTATACACTATATTATAAATCTATCTATAAAGGTAAATCATTATCAAGCTCTGTACCACTTCACACTGTCTTTTAATTTATGATTTCACACGTTTCCTGACTCATGTCCACTTATTCTCTCATATGTTAAATTGCAGCTTAGTTATTCTGTTGCCTCATTGTACTTAAAATGTAGCTGACCACAGCTGTTTATGTTATTCTTTTAATTTCCTTTATTTTACATCGCTGGCTCTATTAAATGGTCTAACCTTGAAAACTGCACCCTGCCAAAATCAGTAAAGAGCTCCTATTCACACTGAGTCTCAGTCTTTATTTATTAGCCATCAAGAACACATGGGGAAGTGTCTTTTTTCATGCTGCAACCTTTATTCAATTTTTGAACAAATCCTACTTGTGAGGCAGTAAACTGTGACTAAACTGGGGGGACGTTGCCATGGGAATGTCAGAACCAGAAACCAGATAGTAAACCACTTGCACTTTGCTATGAACTGATGTAATAGGCACTTCAGGTCCATGTGTGATAAGCCAGTTAGTTTAGAAAGTAAAGCGCAGCTCACACATCAAGGGGTATAGTTTCACTTCATCACTGGCATGGAGGCAGCAAATCTAATTTCGAAGGCTCCCTCTGTTTACTTAGTTACTTAAAAACTCAGTAAGTTGGCAAACTGACACACTATGGTTAGTGCAATAAAGGAAAACTCCAAGCCGAATGCAAACATGGCAACAGACAAGGCTCAGCTCCCACACTGCTGTCCTGGGCAACATAGTATGGGGAGGAGGTGAGGAACCCTCAATGGTGAAAGAACAGGTTACGGACTATTTAGAAAAGCTGGACATGCACAAATCCATGGGTCCAAATCTAATGCATCTGAGGGTCTGAGGGATGTGATTGCAGAGTCACTGGCCATTATCTTTGAAAACACATGGCGATCAGGGGAGGTCCCGGATGATTGGAAAAAGGCAAATATAGTGCTCATCTTTAAAAAAGGGAAGGAGGAGAACCTGCGGACCTACAGACCGGTCAGCCTCACCTCAGTCCCTGCAAAAATCATGGAGCAGGTCCTCAACTAAACCATTTTGAAGCACTTGGAGGAGAGAAAGGTGATCAGGAACAGTCAACATGGATTTACCAAGGGCAAGTCATGCCTGACCAACCTGATTGCCTTCTATGATGAGATAACTGGCTCTGTGGATATATGAAAAGCAGTGGATGTGATATATCCTAACTTTAGCAAAGCTTTTGATACGATCTCCCACAGTATGCCTGCTAGCAAGTTAAAAAAGTGTGGACTGGATGAATGGACTATAAGGTGGGTAGAAAGCTGGCTAGATTGTCGGGCTCAACGGGTAGTGATCAATGGCTCCATGTCTAGTTGGCAGCCAGTATCAAGCGGAGTGCCCCAAGGGTCGGTCCTGAGGCCGGTTTTGTTCAACATCTTTATTAATGATCTGGATAATGGGATGGATTGCAACCTCAATGAGTTCGCAGATGACACTAAGCTGGGAGGAAGAGGTAGATATGCTGGAGGGTGGGGATAGGGTCCAGAGTGACCTAGACAAATTGGAGGATTGGGCCAAAAGAAATCTGATGAGATTCAATAAGGACAAGTGCAGAGTCCTGCACTTAGGAAGGAAGAATCCCATGCACTGCTACAGGCTGGGGATCAATTGGCTAAGCAGTAGTTCTGCAGAAAAGGACCTGGGGATTACAATAGATGAGAAGCTGGATATGAGTCAACAGTGTGCCCTTGTTGCCAAGAAGGCTAACGGCATATTGGGCTGCATTAGTAGGACCATTGCCAGCAGATCGAGGGAAGTGATTATTCCCCTCTATTTGGCACTGGTGAGGCCACATCTGGAGTATTGGGTCCAGGTTTGGGTCCCCCACTACAGAAAGGATGTGGACAAATTGAATAGAGTCCAGCGGAGGGCAACGAAAATGATCAAGGGGGCTGGGGCACATGACTTACGAGGAGAAGCTGAGGGAACTGGGCTTGTTTAGTCTGCAGAAGAGAAGAGTAAGGGGAGATTTGATAGCAGCCTTCAACTACCTGAAGGGGGGTTCCAAAGAGAATGGAGTTAGGCTGTTCTCAGTGGTGGCAGATGACAAGAACAAGGAGCAATGGTCTCAAGTTGCAGTGGAGGAGGTCTAGGTTGGATATTAGGAAACACTATTTTACTATGAGGGTGGTGAAGCACTGGAATAGGTTACCTGGGGAGGTGATGGAATCTCCATCCTTAGAGGCTTTTAAGGCCTGGCTTGACAAAGCCCTGGCTGGCATGATTTAGTTGGTGTGGGTACTGCTTTGAGCAGGGGGTTGGACTAGATGACCCCCTGAGGTCTCTTCCAACCATAATCTTTTATGATTCTATGAACACTGAAACAACTTCATTGAGGCTTTAGCACTTCCATGGGTCGAGTCCCAGAAACCTTGTAGTACACAAAGTTTGCAGTGCACAGTTCGTTTTTAGATGAGGTTCTGGGCATAATTTATCTCATTATTTAAATATCACGATAATACTCATCTTACAAGTGTTACAGAAAGGTACAGGGAGATTCTGAGGGAAAGGATCCATGAGACCTTAGCTTGCCCTACAGTGCCAATCAACCACAGCACCAGAAGGTCTCAGAACTCTTCAATCAGAGATCTCAGAACACTTTGCAAACCTTTATTAACATACAACTATCTGGCCACAAGATGACTCAGATTGGTTTTACACCAGTTAATTCCATTAAGTGCAATGGAGCGACTTCTAATTCACATTCCTGTGAGATCAGAATTCATAGAATCATAGAATATCAGGGCTGGAAGGGACCTCAGGAGGTCATCTAGTCCAACCCCCTGCTCAAAGCAGGACCAATCCCCAATTAAATCATCCCAGCCAGGGCTTTGTCAAGCCTGACCTTAAAAACTTCTAAGGAAGGAGATTCTACCACCTCCCTAGGTAACGCATTC